TCATTTTCCAAAAACTCAACAATATTCTTAGCCGTGGTCTTTCTCAAAGGTTGGACTAAAGTGTATTTACTAAACCAATCAGCAACTACTAATAACCACGTATAACCTTTCTTTGAACGAACAAAGGGACCTATCAGATCTATTGCAACTATTTGCCAAGGAAACTTGGCCTCTCTCTGCTTACCCATTTTACCTAATGGAGCATAATTTGGTGTCTTCTGAGCACCACAAACTTTACATGACCTGACAAACTTAAGCACATCAACACGCATCTGGGGCCAATAATATCTTTCTTGAATACGGGACAAAGTTTTGGAAAATCCAAAGTGAGCACACGTAGGTGGTTCATGACAAGACTTCATAACTTCAAACCTTTGTGGTTTGGGCACAAGAATTTTCCACTCTACATCATTAGTCTTAAAAGAATTTCTGGTAGGGGCAAACTTATAAACAAAATCATTCTCCACCTTCCACTATGGATAATCAATGGGGGATCGGATTATCTTTGATCTCAAATTATCAAACCAAGGGTCTATTCTATCTACATCAACTTCTAAACAATTAACATGGGGACGACTATCAAAATCATTCTTTTTAAAAATTGGGTTCAACGATGGCCTGTAAGGTCTATTAGACTTAGACCTATTCGAAATACAACACTTAGGACAAGAAGATGTGATCACACCTTTATGACCACAACGCCAACAAGATACTGACTTGCTTCTACAGTCACGGGAAATATGACCTGGTCTATTACAATTGAAACAAATAATTTTTTTCGGATTTCTTGGAGCTTGATAAGGGACTGACTGCATTCATGGAGGTGGGGACGAAAAAGATTGCATCATTGGAGGTGGGGACGAAAAAGACTGATTTCTTATTTCAGTATTCTCTGGTGGACTGGGTCTATTATTTTCATACTTAAATTTGGGATTGGGTCTCCTAGAAGAATTTTCTCTGTCCTGTCTGTTACCTACTCCACTTCTATCTTGCTTGTTTTGATTATTCACCACATGAACTTGTTCTTTGGGCTTTTCTGAATCATCAATCGAAATACCTGCAAGACCTTTAGTAGTCTGCAACAAGGGCAGGACATTCTGCTCTAAACGTTTTATAGTTGCTACTAACATTTCTACTGTAGCAAAATCTTGAAGGGCTATCAGTGGAATGTTATCCACTAAAATATTTTTCCTTATTATTTTTACCTTTTGGGCTTCACTAGGATATGTTTCCAAACGTTTAAAAAGGTTTTCCATCACTGCTGAATAAATGGTTATGGATTCGTTCCTTTTTTGCTTTCTATTTTTAATTTCATCCAAGAGATTATCATTATAATCTGGGTGTAAAAAAGCAGATTTGAGTAGGGCTACCAACTCATCCCAACTATTAATTTTATCTCTAACACTCCTATACCAAATAGCAGCATTACCTTCAAATAACTCAATAGCTGAGCGAAACAGGATGTCTTCGGAAATATTCCGAGACCTAGCAGAATCTCTAACTTTCTCTAAAAATGTGGGAAGAGCTTTACTCTCACCATTAAACTTGATATGTAAATCAGAAATAATGACATGAGTTGAAACCTGCATTATTGGGGCTGGGATTGTACAACTGGGAACTACAGGGACTGAAACTGGGCTACTAGTGGATGGTTTTACTAAATCATCAGATAATTCTAGTTTTTCTAACACATCACCCTGTAACAACAACAAATCATCTTTACACTCATTGACAAACTTTTTAACATCTTCCTCAACATCATTCATAGGGAAATTCTCTAATCTGGTATCCAAATGTGAAGACCTTGTCTCAAATCTAGCAAAATCAGCTTTGTTTGACTCTGCATTCATTGATTGAGCAATACTATATAAATCTTTTATAATCAACATGATCTCATTCAACTCTTCCTGAGGATCTACTACATTATTAACCAAATCGACTAAACTTGAAGACAAAGTTGGCCAACAAAGCTCTTAACATCTTTCTCTTATCATCAACTGTCTTATTTGGGACATTTTTACCTCTTATGAAAAGCTCATAAGATAACTCTCCTGATTTCAAATGATTAACCTGGGTAGACTTCATTTTTCAAAAATTGGATGAAAGTAAACACAACAAAATAACTGAAATCAACCTCAACAACTAGTAGAAAATATGATAATTTTAAGAAACAACCGTTTCCATTTATCACCTGATAGTAAGTCTCACTTGCACTCCGCAATTTGAAATCCAAAACTCAATCAGTTTGCTGCAACTTCTGCTCTTGACTTAGTAATCAGTTGGTAAACAAAAATAAGGTCTTTAACCTGTCTCCTAAAAGTTCACACTTCCACTAACAAGGACTAAAAAAATGGTTTCAAACAACATGGGACAACATGGACACTAACAAACAACATAAACCGTACATACAGGGAAAGACAAAATACTAATAATATTGAAAACTTGACCTTTGAGTGAGCTACACTAAATAACACCAAAATAAACCAACTCTTGTTCCGAAAACTAAATGAGACTGCTCCTAGTCAAAACTAAAACAGCATCTCCTGATCACAAATATTACACCTGTGGTCATTCAGATACAAGAAAGGATACACAATAAACAAACAGTCTACTACTGAGACTAAAATTGTCGAATCTTCTCTAGGACTCACAATGACTACCCCTCGTACAACAACATTAATTAACCCTTGGCATTTAAATACACCTTCAGAGACGGTTAATTAGAAGATAAATTGCATAATACTACTTCTCAACTACATAGCTCAAACAAAGTCATTCAAACGAATACAACATTTACTCAAAATTGACCGAACAAATAAAAAATTACAAAAACCGATTATTCTGTAAGATTTGTCAAATCAATAAAAAAATAAATGTAACAGTAACTGTATAATTTGCTACTGTTTTTAAATTCTTTTTAATATCAATAGTTCAATCAAAATTGATATTTAAATATTCAACTCAAATATTTGCTTTCATTTACCAATCAATACATATAAAAACAATACAATGTTAATATACACAAATATAAATGTTGGTACATAATACATACATACAATATAAATACTTTGCTGTTTGTGAGACAACTTGGGCCACTATTCAAGAGAAAAAAAGTTTCATATAAATGGCAGGGAACTGGGGAAACTGAAAAAGATATGTGGCTTCAGGAAAAGGGTCAAAAATCTAAAAATTGCCACACGTTGGGGGCGCCAAATTTGTAACGATAGTTACAATTGGCGCAAATCTAAGACAAGCCACACACGTTGGGCGCTAAAATTGTAACGATAGATACAATTAGCGCCAACCTAATTCATGCCACTCGCGTTGGGCGCCAAAATTGTAACGAAAGTACAATTTGGAGCAAAACTAAAAGAATACCACACGTTGGGGGCCAAATTTGTAACGACTATTTTGCTTACCACAGGGTAAGAATATGGGGGACAAGATTGGGCAAACAAAATAATCGAAACAAGTGCATACGACACTCAGTTGGTTGTTGGAGAGCTGGATCGTGGATAAGTTGAAGATATTGGGGGTTGGATTGGGGCAACTACAAAAAAGGAAATAAAAGGTACTTATACGAATCTATTGGACAAACAGAATGAAAATAAACGGAAACACCTCAAGAAATTTAATATAGGGCGCCACTTGAGGTGCCCAATTATACCTATTACAACCCCTAGTTGTAACTAGGGAAATAATTGTATAACATCAAAAATATAGAAAAAAATATCTTTTTCAAATAAAACTCAAAATAGATCAGAGAAACAAATTAAACATTTATTTTTGTCTCACCAAACAGTTTTCAAAAATACAGCTTATACAAAGGCATATTAAATAAAATTAGCTGTCAAATACAAATGAAAAAAACTTACATATCTGTTTACAAAAGGTTACAAAACTCATCGAAAGGGTTCCTAGTAAATAATTTAAAAAATAATTTATAAAAGAAAGCAAATTTTGTCTTTTTAAAAGAAAATGTCTATTTTTACTTTAAAAATTAATAACGTAAATGTTACCTCAGTTCACAGATGTTAACTTAAACTTTTGAACAACTGGCTAATTTCTGTGGGGTATTTAACTGCACATCAACGGAAAGCTTTATTGGAAGCTGAAACTTGCACATTCAAATCAAAACTGCTTCAATATCATTCTACGTGGGGTAAAAGGCATCTCGGAAAGGAACTGGATTTCTCAAAAAAAACGAAAAACAAACAGGAACTAAACTCGTTCACTTCTCAAACATTATAAATCTTCAGCAAAATCAAAACAGTGGTTAGTGGTCACTCTTTCAGAAACGACATATTACATAGAGTGAAAATTCCACCATTTTTGGCGAATGAATGCCGGCTTACAACATCACAATTAAACGACTTTTCCCTTCGAGCAGTTCTTCATCACTTCCTCTCAAATCTTTTACTCCATTCCCACACGTCTGCCCCGCTTGGAACTTAAATGTCGACTCTATCACATGTCACATGTCTGCCCTGTTTGAAATCTCTAAGTCGACTCTTCTTCGCTTCGTTACCTTTTACCAGAATCTAGCCAAAAATTTCCCTTCCGTCTTGCAGCCTGTCGCCGACCCACTTAAAACCAAAACAAATTTTCCCTCCTCTTATCGACAAAAAAACAACTTTTAAATGTTCCTTTATTGCCTAAACAAACAAATATTCTTTTTTTTTGACCCTCGTCTAATAACGAAAAACAACTTTAATATTAGGGGAATTCATGGTTTATTGCGTATTGTATTTAACATAATACCTCTTTGGCGACAAAAAACTTGTTATTATACCTAACATTGCAACACAGAGATAAAAACATATTTCCAGCGTTAATACGCATTTAAAAATCTCGTCAAAAAAACTTGAAATATTATTTCGATTGTTTTCTTTGGTAAAAACATCAGAAGCGTAACACAGAAATCTTTTATATACACAATAAATAAAAAAAACGCTACAATATTGTATACATTTTTATTAATATTGTAATGTTACTTCTAGGGAAATTTAGTTTTATGCATTACCCATTCATACTTACACCAGCGACAAAAACAATGGGTTTATATTTCGATAATAGGATACGAATGTATTCAGAAAGGAGGATTAGTTTTTTACAGGCTTTTACCGGGTTGCCGTCACAACCATTTTTAAAATTAAAAGTGAGAAGGGATCATATCATTGACGACGCTCTGGTGGAGGTATGTATGCAATATTTAAATTCTGTTTTCGGAGTTGTGACATTAATAATGAATTATTTGTTAATAGTATTATCTTCGTATATTCGTATCTAATTAAAGTATAAATGACCAATAATTGTTACAAAGCTTGCACACTTGATACAGATATGGTTTCTCACACCGGCTACGTTAAAATCGGTAATATGTATGTATTATATTAGTTAATACATTCTTTTGAGGTTCTTCATCAGCACCAGTAGCTGTTTTGAGTCCACTGCTGAACATAGGCCTCCCGCAAATAATTTCATTGTCGTCCGATCGTCTTGTTGGATGACATCCTCGACTACGATAAATATCTATTCTAAAATTTATTTGGCCCATCTCTCACTGTCTCTGGGGGTATATTCAACATTGATCTCTCCTTTACTCCCTGTGCCCCCTGTCTTCTATTTAATACTTTTCTGGTAAGGCTCAGTTTTATGACACTGAGCCTTACCAGACCGGAAGCACACACTGATTAAAGACTGTTGTTTGGTTGTCTCTTCTTAATTTATATTTATGAATCTTGTTGCCTAGGTATTCATTTGTTCAATTTTGTGCTATCCGTTGAAATGTTTTTGGTCAGTAAAAGGTTGGACATTTATTGCGTTTTAAAAAAATTAATTTTAAATTTACCTAGTGTACAAGAGCTTTAAAAATCTTAAAGAAATAGGCATACATGATCTAATGCAATAAGGACTATGCGTTCTGCAAACCTCAAGTTGTTCTTATACTCACAATTTACGATGACTCTAGTTGCCCAATTATAGTTTCTCATAGCCATGTGCAACAAAGCGGTGGATAGTTTAGGAGTGATAGTGTCCCCTTGCCTAATACTCTTCTCCAAGGAAAATGTGTTCAAATAACTTCTCAAAGTCGACAAATATTATCAGTGGCTTGTTGTATATTCTATAACTTTATTTGTCAAGGACTTTATTATTGTAGCTGGTCATTCGTTCCAAAGTCACTCCTAAATCCAGCTTGTTCTAGTGGTTGGCAAAAATCTTGCTTAGATCGGAGTCTGTTCTCTGTAATTATTCTCATAAAGAGTTTATGTAAATGAGAAAAGAAGCTGATAGATCTGTAGTTTCCAATTTCTCTTTTTATACAATAATATTATAATGACACTATACTGTTTAGCTGTTGTAATACCTCCAAAGACATATAAATTATAATGAGTTTTTAAAACTTTTATCACGAATTTGCCTTCTAGTTTTATCGTTTCACTTACAATACTATATTGTATATGTTTTTTTATTATTCATGCATTTTAAGGCTAAACCAATTTCCTCTTCGGTTATATCTGGAAGTTCCCCTGATCCTATAGTGTTCTTCGATGATTTTCAGGATTTCTGGTTCGTATATGATTATATCAATATTTATTGTTTAACCTATAAATAATCTCTGCCTTTAACTTTCATTTTAGAACTTTTAGGCTTTTGTTTTGTTCTATAGTATTAGTTATTTCTTTTGTTTAATCAGGTTTATTGTGTCTTCTGTGCATTTTTCTTGTTTGCTTGCCTTCGCACTTCTTCTGTGCCTTCTTTAGAAGGTCCTCCAACATCTCGTTAAACTGTTAATTAATTTCATCTTGCACATCTTTCTGTAGGTTATTCTATATTTTTTCCTGGTATACCCTTATATTAGTAATCTCAGTGAATGTGGCATGTTTACTGCCCGCTACCATATTTCTTCTTTCCTTCTTTATATTCAAGACTACCTTCCCTCTAACCATTCTATGATCACTTCTGGTTGAAAATTGATTTAATAGAGTTACGTTTTGAACAGCATCTTTTTTTAATAATTATAAAGTCAATTTCATTCTTGTTTAAGCCATTGGATGATTGCCAAGTCCCCTTTCTTAGAGGCTTTTTTAAAACAATTGTTCATGACACATAACCTGTATCGCAGAAGACATTTTGTAAGAGTTTTACTCCTTTCGTTTTTATTTCGTTATCTGTGAGATCCAACTTCGAATTCCGAATCATGCTGCTTGTGGCCTATTTTCGCGTTTAGGTATAAGTATAGTATTGTTGGCGGTTACCTCTTTTATCACAATGTTAACGTCGTCGTAGAACCATTTAACTTCTTCGTTTGTGTGGACTCCTTAGTTTGTGATGATAGTTGGTCGACTCCGGGGATTCTTAGCACACTCTGTCTCTCTATCTCCAAGACTGATACTATAGCCTGGTTTCAAAGGACTGCCGTCTAACTGAGGGCCTTTCATTTTATTTGTTTCTCATTTGACAGGGATTCCTGGCCATTTTTCCTATTACGCTGGCTGTGCGAGTTGGTGGAAGGTTCTTAAGATGGGTTAGGAAATTTGGTGTCTTCTACAAGGATGATACTGAGATCGTAAACTGTATCTAGCGTACACTTTATGAGGTTCTGCAACCCTTTATAATACAGTGTCTGTCTGGCTTCCAACAGTTCACAGGGTTGACATAGGTTACATAGATAATAATACATACGTAATAATGTATTTTCGTTAGAATTATGCATTTTTTTATACAATACTTCTCATATCTAACGAACTAATTAAAATTTTAACTGCGCCTAATGAAATTAAAAGATCATGTAACTGGCTGTATGGCAAACTGCCAAAGCCATTGTAAAAAAAAACTAATTAAAATTAATTCATTCTAATCATTATTACCTTACTGTGATTATAATCGTTGATTGAATAATCCAAAATAATGTAACTTTAATGCAATTTTTAATTTAATTTTAGTTGGAAATGATCTCCATGGACAATCCTAGTGATCTTAAAAAGCAGTTGGTGGTGGAATTTGAAGGTGAACAAGGTATTGATGAAGGTGGGGTTTCAAAGGAGTTTTTTCAATTAGTTATAGAAGAAATTTTTAACCCCGACTATGCCATGTTCGCTATTCAACCAGAATCACAAACAGTAAGTAAACATTTTCAAATGTACATTATTTGATGACTCATTCGCACGCAGTATAGAAACCAGTTATGAATGTCTCGGAAGCTAAGAGGAATATTTCTCATTGGTAACCAATCGAAACTATTCACGTATTGTTAGTTATGATATCGTACATGCCTATAGCGCTGACACGAAATGTGCTCAATAGGATTAATCTTTGATCTGATCTTTGAGGTAACTGTTTTTCAGTACAAACTTCAAAAACTGTATTGCTATCATTACCATAACATGTTGTTTGAGCTTTAGGTTTCAAAGAATCCATGCCCAAACCTCAGTTAGCTATTCTCAAAACAAATCAGAGATTAAATAGTGCGAGCAGCGTCTTCAGTTTTGTGTGGTCATATTTATATTCCAGATTGTTTTTTACTTTTTGGTAAACATCATTTTTAGAATCATCGTTCGTGATTGGAAGTAAATTTATTTCTTTTGTAAGTTGTTTGTCAACAATCTTTAGGTAACTGACTGTCGTAGTGAGAATTTATTCTCTGTGGTTATTTTTTTCCTTCAGGCATCTGTTGGATCGCTAGTAGTAAGATCTGGCCTCTAGAAATCCTTATTGTGTTTTTACACAGTTGGACGACGAGTGTTAACTGTTGCCTCGACATCCAGTTCCTCAGAAGCTCAGCTCCGACCCCACTAAGACCAGAAAACTGCATAAAGTAGCACCAAACCAAACAGTTCCTATTAAATGGAAGACTAAGCTCAAGACCTGAGCAAGAGACCTGAGAAGAAAGAAATAAAAAATCATTAGAAACCCCCAATTTGAAAGAAATAGCCCCGAACCACCTTCAACAACTAAAGAACTAAACTGAGCAATCCACACATGAAAAATTACAAGTAAAGTATAAAAAATTGTAATTTCGTTACTGAAAAACAGGTTATTCTATGAGGAGATAAATAAGAGCTGATAGTAGAATACAAAATAATGACCTGACTTAGTGTAGTGTTTTGCTTTCCATTCTCTTCAATATATATACAAACGAACAACCAACACCCGAGTATACAGAAAACCTGTTTGCCGACGATCTGACCATCATTGCACAAGGAGAAACCTCTAAGGAAGTGAGGGACAAACTAGAACAGGCTATGGTTACCATGCTGAACTACTACCGAAACAACTCGCTTCTACCAAACCTAGCCAAGACGCAAGTAAGCTCCTTCCATGTTAGCACGCTCCAAGCAAATAGTAAATTCGATGGAGGTATCAATCTTGAACACTCGGAAAAACCATTCTGCCTGAGTGTCACGCTAGGCAGGGCAGTTGCATACAGATACCACTGTGAAACTACACATCCGAATATAGCAGATAGAAAAAATATCCTCCAAGATTTCACCAATAGCAGATTAAAGGCTAGACTGACTGTCTTGAAAGCCACTGCCGTTCGCTCTGCTATTCTACAGCAGTGTACTCCTGTCCGTTCTGATACGGATCAACTTCTGCCAAAAAAGTCATCCTGAAAGAGGCATGCAGACTAGCATCGGCGTGAATAAAAAACAACAATAATATAAAAAACTGTAGGTCGAACGTACCAAGCAAACAACTAATGACCGCTACCCTCCTTTTGAAGTAGAATACAATTTAAAATGATGTAAGTGCCGTAGAAAATTCCTGGATGTGGTCCTGGACAGCCAACCTGCCAACTACCTCATCGACAAGGAGATGTCCAGTAGAGCAAACCCCAAGTGTCCAGTATGGCGAACACTGAATTGAATAAGAACCGGCGTGGTACAGGAGAAAACCATCCAAATAAAGTGGGACTTTAGACACGAAACATACAATACATGCGAATTTGGCGCCATACAGAACATCGACTGACCTGTCCAACCTGTCCTAGTACCTGCAACCTCGATGACCTATGACTTAACAATCAAGAAGCGTTGGAAATAGCCTACTAGGCTGAACATTTAGAAATACCCAGCACCAAAAAGTAAGTAAGTATTCCATGTTTGAGACATATAATTCCCAAAAGCATTTTGATATTTGTCGTGCATTATATTTAAATATACTTAACTCTACGAAAGCAAGTGAGGGACTAAACTATGCCTTAAACTCTTTTGCCCGCCATATCGGTCAACACAGTTCTTAAACAACTATTTTTGTAGTTATAGTTTGTCTTCTGGGCTACTTTCACCTTCACTCAGTGTTATTGAATAGATACATTATATAACTCATTATACTTAACATATAAAACATTCAATAAACGTATAATATAAATGTTTTGTCTGTTCAGTTTCTTTTACACACATTGTCTAAATCTCCTATTTCAGTTACTGAAATGTTACTTGTCGATGTTACTGTAAACATATACCTTCAAAATGAAACCTGGACAAATTAAAAGGTAAATGTTGAACAGACTTTTAGAAATAACCATGGATAAGTTGCAATAAAGCTTCTTGCAATTTAATACTAATGTTGTTTCTAATATATATACTATAATAATATAATATATACAGTGTAGGTAAAAGTTTATGGTCTTTATGGTAAAATTTAACAGGATATCTAACACAGATATAAAATCATATTTTCAGCGAATAGACAAATATAACCGTCATATTTCCCCTTGGTCTCCCCTCCATATTTCTCATTGACGCTCATTGTCCATTAGTGAGACGATTAGTTTTTATCAGAGATATTTTACATATCTCTGGTTCCGATCCTAATATACCTAAGAAACTAGAGGTGGGTCGTTGACATTTTTATCGGAACCGTTTTTCGTAAGCTGTAACTAGTTGATTGTTTACCAGTAGTTTCAAATAAGCGAGTACATAAGAAACATATTGACTATTATCGTTTATGTGTGTAAGTATTGAAGTGAAAGAAACTAACGAAGGATATATTTATTATAACCTGAAAAATAAATTAAACAATACAAATAGTACTTACATTTACATTACACATTATTAAATCGCGAATCGTCTAAATTGACATTTAAAACATCAACACAAGTTTTTCTACTTTTCTTGTTAACCGTGTTCTTCTTTTATTTAAAATTAAACCAAATTTTGAACATGTGTTCACAAGGAACAGATTTTGTTACAATACTACAATATTTTATGAATGTTTGTCGACTTCGTTTATATCTCTCGATACAGGTGTATGTTTAGATGAGTCATGTCCAATTAATTCATCAAAAATACACCATGGACTTAAGTCATCTTTATCAGTTTCTTTTTCTTGTACTGGTTGATTTTCAATAGTACAATCTTCTTTTTCTTTTGTATAGAAGTAACCAGCTTCTTAACTTTTTCATTTGTTTTTTATAACTAGGTATTATGATTAATGAATAAGTTTTGATTTACGATTGATTTTTGATTTATTTATTGTAAATATTCAATTAAGAATTATTTTTCTTAATCAAAATTATTGACCTAGTATAGGAATAATAATTTTATTTTCAAAAAATGCAGATTTGTAGAAGATGCAGCTTTTATGGTCCACTTTCTGAATATTGCAATGATTGAAACTTCTCCTGACGCATTTCTGTCCGTTTCGACTACTTCTACTACAAGTACTGACATACTGCCACCGCCACCCAAGCGTCAAAAGGTGATGGATACTTCCATTAATAAAAATATTAGTTTAGAACAAAAGAAACAAATAGATATGGGTTTACTAAACCTATGCAAAGACTCATTCCATCTATAACATCTATAATATACATCTTGATCTTTAGAACGAAGCAAGACTTGTATTTTGTTTTCAAAATCTGGATCAGACGATTTACTGGTTTAATACTAACAATGCCGCTATGTCCTACCCATGCTCACTACAAAAATACAAATTATTCGAATATCTATGTTTATTATAAACAAAATATAAAATACCTTGTATCAATAAACAATCCGTTTCAAGTAAAAAACATGCTATTGGGATAATCAATTTTTTTAATTCTCTTTGTCATTTAAGTTTTTGTGTTATAAATTTTTGAAAAAATTGCAATTAGGTGGTTTCTGCAATAAATGAGTGTATCTAAAGTGATTTTTAAAATTAAGTCAAACCATTAATTTTTATCTGTTGGTATCAAAGGTAAGTAACAGACACATTTAAGTATAGAAAGAGTGTTTTTACTATGCTTAAATTGAAAAATACAAATAGACTACATGCTACAGTATGTATATAAACAAAGATCTGGCTTTGCTCACTATTCAGATTCTGGCAACTCCTTGTCAGTTGTTGGCCATTGGATGAAAGTGTCATAGAAGTCTTCATATCCAACAGTGTATTCCATCAACATTTTTTTACATCTTCTATCTTATTTTTTTTTTTAATTAGGACCTAAAACCAACAATCTCACTGTGCAAAACCCGATAAATTTTAAAATTTGTTATAGCCTACAAAAATGTTGTGTCAAAGTAAAACATCAACGTTTAAAATAACCTTATTTTAAGAATAAAAACCTAAACATACCTTCCCCAAACGATAAGCTTTCTCTGTTGGTAGTTCGGAGGTCTGGCAGTTTTTAGCAAGGTGAAGGTAAATGTTGATATTCTTCCAATGAATTCGCTTGCGACCACTTTTCCGGAGTATCCTTGTTGTAAAGAAACTGCTTGTACTTATACACTTTGAATGACTCCTTACTTTCTTTTAATACTTTTCTGCCTGATCCGAATTTGGTATTTTTTTATATGATTTGGGCCACCACTTTTTGAAAACTGAGAACATCGTCTGATGTAAGGTGATATACAGTAAATCGGCCAGACTTAATAGCTTTTAGCATGAACTCTGCATATTCATCAGGAGTATAAATCCTGTTCAAGAGACGCTTTATGCTTCCAAAATCTCTATCACACGGGGAAAATTAGTGGCCACGCACAGGGTAGTTGTGAGTTATTGTTTCAAACCGACCTAGAGGTTTAGTAAAAACGCACAACTGTATGATTCTTATTTTGACCTGATGGCCCATCACAAAACAATATGAGATGCTTCACATTAACTGGAATGTCATTGAAGTAGTTCAGTAGCATTGAACATACTTCGACTGGGCCTTTGTTTGCTTCTCCCTCATGATAGACACACAGTTTGGATGAATTAGTTTTCAAACCGTGTAAGGAAAACACATTTACCTAGAGCTGCCTCATATAAAAAACTTCCTGTATGTGGAATGTGGAAGGTATATGCGGCAAGGGTAAGTTTTCCATGTAGTTGAAGGCTAGTGCGACCGTGTTGTCATCTTTGTTTTTTATTTCCTCATCCATAGCCTTGTAAAAACTTTTTTGCTCGCCGTGAGTGTATCATTTTCTTAGCAGCACATTTCTTTTAGCGTTGTTACTCTAAACACTTGTCTTTGAGTGTGGCCGACAGTCTTTCGTAAGTTGAACACACATCAACTTGTGGTCATCCAAAACAGTAAGCAAAGTTCTCTTAAAAGTATTTGTTGTAGAAACTATACTTTACTTTATTTTTTAGATCTGGATTGTCTAAAATAAACATTGCATGCATTTTTACGACATCAAGCCTAGCGTCAAGATATTTTTGAAGTTTTTAACGTTTTAGGCTTGAGATTAGATTCATCATATGTACTATCACTGTCCGACATGCCTTAAGAACTATATAATGTGATAATAAACAAAAAAATAACACCTAATTTTCACCGAAAACTTAACGTCTTAGTGTTAGGTAACCTTCAAACAAAACAGTGAGTCACAAAACAGGTGATGTCAACAAGGCCGCCAACCGCCGCGAGTAAAATTTACCGCAGAAAGAACCTAAAGGACGGCGCATGGGTTCTTTTGACATGAACGGATTATTTTCAAGGCTGCCAAATAGCATTGCTGATATGGAACATAGGTTCTTTCTGCACTAAAAGATGTATTTACCTTTAAATAGTACAGTACCACCAAAAACACATTTTTTGTTATTTTGTCCCTAGGCGATTTAATCCCATATAAATACAAGAATTAACATTCATTTGAAGTTTTGGTACACTTTATATATTATAGAGATTATAGATATTAAAAATTTCTATTTTTTAAGTTGTTTTTTATTTTTAGGTTTGGTTTAATCCTACTAGTTTCGAAAGTGATGCTCAATTCACGTTAATAGGTATAGTGCTAGGATTGGCGATATATAATAACGTCATTTTAGCAGTAAATTTTCCTATGGTGCTATATAGGAAGTTAATGGGAAAGAGGGGTAGCTTTGAGGACCTGCAAGATTGGAACCCTGTAAGTACTTTAACACTTTATTACAATTATATATGTATTATGTTTATACGTTGGTTATTGATTTCAAATAAATAATCGCATTTAATTCTTATTTAGGAAAATGCAATCACTGGTTCGATAATCTTTGATACCAGTCCTCATAGAAATTTGGAATATATTGCTTCATAAAAACTAGCTATAGTTCAAACCAAATCCTTCTTTCAGGGCCTTATTAATTTTGACGTCATATAGGATTTTAAAAATGTCGCGAATCATTGCATAACATTTTAGTTAAATCTGACAGTTGCCAAAATCGTAATCAGCCAAATATGTAAAGGTTATTTCTTTTAACACCTTTATTGCAATTTGTACCGAAAACAAATCACAAATGTGTTTATTGTATTTTTAAAAAGTTCTGTTCCCAAATGATTGATAATTAAACAAATATTAGCAACTTCCCTCTATTCATTTTTAAATGGACTATTCTGTAAATTATACTTAGTTCCGTAGGTAAACCATAGATGGCAAATATATATAAAACTAGTGTTAAATATATAAATAATTAATTTAATAAGCAGCTATTTTAAACTAATTGATAATTTTACAGAACCATAACATATTCTCAGTCTTCTTTACAAAATTGAAACTATATTTTTCAAAACAATAATTGTGTCAGAAATGGTTGTCTGTAGTTAAGCTCTGTTACTTTCAAGTTAATGCGTTAGAGAGAATTCGATAAATTATGAAAGAAGGGTTTGGTTTGAACTATATACTAGGACTTCTACTCAGTTCAACTCACAACCTTTAACCCCGTTAGCGAAATTTACCAAATTGTTTTATTTATTTATTTAGCATATTGCATTTATGGATCCATTTGAACCCGATGTTAAACCCGATGGCTGCGGTCGTTTCTGCGGTTTTTATAGGAGATTTTCTGGAACGCAGTTAACTTTTGGTTGCATCTTCGTAACTTCGTAACAAGCGCCGTATTGTTAAGGATCTTCTTATATTCTTTGGCCAGAAGGTTGAGTCGACGATGGTGTGGTGGTGGAATTGACTCGGCACTGGTAGACAATGGGTTGATGTGGATTTGATTATTCCAGTGATCATTCTCATGATGTGTTTTAGCTGGACATCAATCTTTTGAACGTGATCACTGTTGATCCATATTTATGCGCAAAATTCAGCTACAGAATAAACAAGAGCTAAGCCTCAAGACCTGGATGTGGATGCCAATGTTCTTTAAAGCCTAAAGCTATGTCCAAAGTCACGCCTAGGTATTTTGTGTATTTATTGTGGTTGAGTCATGCATATAAACTCTTTATGAAAATCTTAACAAAGAGGCTAACACCTAAACTTGATTTCTATCAGCCCAAAGAACAGGCAGGCTTCAGGGCAGGATATGGCACAAATGACCATTTGCATACCATAAAGATCTTAATAGAAAAGTGCATCGAGTACAACATACCACTGGTTCTTGCATTTGTCGATTACGAAAAGGCTTTTGATTCTGTAGAGAAACAATACTGGAAGCCCTAAATCAAAGCCGAATAGATTACAGGTACACGACACTAATCAAAAATATCTACGAGAACGCTACATCAAGTATACGACTACACGAAGACACAGAAAAATTCAGCTTAAGTCGAGGAGTTAGACAAGGAGACAATATTTCACCAAAATTGTTCACGGCAGCTCTAGAGTCAATATTTAAGAGCACTCAATGGCAAGATATGAGCATCAATATAGATGGAGAAAGATTAAATCACCTAAGATTTGCAGATGACGTTGTATTAATCGCAGATAATTTACAAGATACAGTTTCTATGATGCATTCGCTTAAAAGTCTGTCTGAAAGAGCAGGATTAAAGATAAACTTTGAGAAAACTAAACTTATAACAAATCTCGTAATGAGTGGAAATATAACTATTGACAATAATACCATACAACAAACAGACACTTACAAATTTCTGGGACACGAAATCAAAATAAGCAGAGACAATCAAACACATGAAATACAGAGGCGAATAGGCCTAACTTGGGCAGCTTTTGGCAAATTAAGCCATATTCTAAATTCCAAATTCTATATTCTAAAAAGTTCAATTCCCATGTGTCTCAAGCGAAAGGTTTATAACCAATGTCCGGTTTGTAACCAACGGACGCGAAGTCGTGTATTATCAAAATGAATATTAAGTGTTATTAAAGCCAAACTGTTGTATATGTGGAAGCAGGTTAGTTCAGGATCTTCTAGGTCAGAATTTCTTCAGTTTCTTCTTCAGTACAATTCTCTAATTTTGTTTGTGTTAATAAAGCCCAGCCTTCGGCTTAGCCAAACTTTTTTGATCTTGTCGGCATGTCTGCGATGTAAAGACTAAAAAGCAGTGGTTCGAATACCGAGCACGGTGGCAGACTATTTTTGAGTTTTCTAGTGATGCTTATTTCTGATCCCATAATTACTCGAAACACTCTGTCGGTGAGTATATTTTCTATTAATCTGGCAGTGAATTTGCAAGGAATAGTTAGTAAGAGTTTATAAATCAACAATGTGTGGTCAACTGGTATTGCTGTAATTTTGAATATTTAAATGCGGTTCTGAATGATGTTTGTGAAGAAATATTCCAGCCAGATTTTTGTGTGTTTCCCGCAATTGAGTATGAATTCGTGGTGGATGCCGTCCAAACCTGAGGCTCTTCCGGGAGAAACGTCTTTATTTCTTCACTTGTAAAAGGGTGAGAACGTTCGGTCTCGAGGAATTCCGATTTCACGGTTTTTAAACGTTTACCGGCCGGTTTCCGAAACGTTATTCAAATCTCCAATCATGTAATCAAGTGTCAAATTTGATCAACTGTTAACAAGCGACAGGTTTCCGAAACGAAAATTATGGTGAATGTAGGCGATCACCGATTATAGATTATTTGACATACGATTTTACATGGAAACTGTAGAATCGATTATAATCGTTTATTATTTCTGTACGAATTGTTCTTTATCTTGCTCTAAATTAAGAAAGTAATGTTGCTGTTTCACTCTACCGTCATTTCTGTTTATGTGTAATCTGCATTCTGAAAATCAACAAACAAACATAACCTAACTATTAATTTTGTGTCGTTTGTTAATGTTTGCCAATTTGTCATTTATCAATCATCATCATATTTAATATTAAATATTAGTAAATTTTTTACCTTTGTAACAATATTTTTGAGTTCTTTCTAAACAACAGCTTTTTATAAAACACCTTAGGTTTATGTATTTACAACGTAACCAAAGATTTTATTTTATTTACTTACAACCATTGATACATAACCAAAGATTATAAGATTAATCGTCCAAAAATCTCAAATTACCTGACAAGCTAGTATGACAGTTGTTTGACATAGATAAAACGATAATTAGCGTTTCGGAAACCCAAAATACTTCTGACAGGCTGTTAATCATCGATTATTTGCTTGTTAGATTAGTTAATGTGTGTTATGTGATTGAAGTTTGATCGATGTTTCTGCAACTCAAAATGCATTTAATCGACTGTTAACAGTAGATTACCTAATTTTGATAATGATCAGCCTTTCGGAAACCGGCTGTTAAATCTCGTGTGTTAGCTTTATCTCTGGTTGCTCTTGATGTAACAATATGACATGCCACTGAGTTTGTATGTATAGCTGCTTTCCGTCGTTGCTTTTACCATCTCCAAGTTTCCTTATTAGGAGTCAAGCATTCCGACTTGATTTTTGAAACTTTAGATTTTCTACTGTCTCAGTCCGTTTCTGCTGTTGTGCTACGTTCAGACTGAATAAATTGATCTACGATCTCTTGTCTGCAGTTTCAAGAAAATTGCAGTATATCACTATTTTGACACCATTCCAGAATCTATTATTTTCGATAACCTGTGGACATGCTCTTCTTAGCTGTATTTATCACAGCTCTGACAAAACGAGCCTAGTTCTTACTGACTTACCAGACACTTAACAAGGTCAGAAGCGAACTTTTCCCAGTTTGCTCGTGTATAATTCCATCTAGGTCTTGGAATTGACTTGATTAGGGTCTATGCCCGGCTCTACAATGACGGCGATTCTGGCTGTGTGAAGAATACTCCTTGTGGCTACAAGAGGGGCGTTGTTACAGTCGCTTGATACAAAACATAGATCAAGGTTGTTCTCCCTGCTCCATGCTGCTGTTTTAAATGTGCCTTTGTTTTTAACGTCAAACATGAGATATAAATTCTCATCTTCAGTCGGTTGTACTAGACGTCCCGATTTATCTCAATCTTCCTGTATTTTCATATTTTCACTGCTCGGGATGACTGTAAGTCGTCTACATAAATCGCTGGATGAGGTTAGGTTTCTAGAACATGAATTGGTCATTGCCTACCTAATGGTTTATAGACGTTAGTGATAGTGATATTGCCGATTTTTGTAACAACGATTTATATGCCATTCTCAGACAAAATTGTTTTAAATATGCATTATAGTAATTTATTTCAAGTATTCCTGTCTCCTCTCCTTACTATACTTTATTTTTCTTATTTTAGGTAGTATATAATAGTTTAAAACAACTCTTGGAGTATGACGAACCCAACGTCGAAGAAGTATTCATGCAAACATTTAGTATAAGTTACCAAGATGTTTTTGGTTGTACAATTAATTATGATCTAAAAGAAAACGGAGAAAAAATTAGTGTTACACAAGAAAATAAATACGTAAGTAAATATTGAACGAAAGTTATAAGAAAGCTGAATGGATTTGGAATCTAATTTAATTAAACTTCTTTAGAATAGATCTAATGATAAATATACATTCTATCCAAAATAAATATTGTTCTGATCAAGGATGTATAAACACAGATGGACTCAGTTATTTACATAAAATTGTGAAGTCAAAATTATTTGAATAGGTCACATTTTCAGCACCTTCAACTGTTGTCACGTTTTGTTTTAAAATTTCTTATTCGCGAGTCGCTGAAAATATTACTCCGTATTTTATACTCTACAGGTGCTATCAAACCAAAATAATCATTTATTGGTTAGATTAATATATTTAATTGTAATCAAAATATAAAGTGTGCACATAGTGTGCATTATCATTTAATAATAGCGTATAATTTAGATATCAATCAATTATTTTATATGTAGAAGCACTGAAAACTATTTATAAATGGCAACGGTTATTTACATTTCTCTGTCTTATGGATCTACGTCAAACTTCAAATGCTGTTCCATGTTTGTTTACTTTTTAGTAAAAGTTGTTTTTCGATATTTTGGCTGTATTTTGAGTGATATTTGTGAAAAGTGAAATAAAATAAACGAAATATTTACATCCCGATCTCTCATTTCATTTGTAAGTACATACAATTTACATTATTTAAGATGAGGAAATGAGGAAGCGTGTTTGTTTACATTTTAATAGGCGTACCATTGGGTTTATTCATGTTCATTAATGTATTGAATAATATATAAATTCATGAAATTAGTAGACATTTTTAAATTGTAAGTAGATATCATCTGATTAAAAAAGATCTGTTTGGTACCTTTTTAAAACGTGTTTTTATACATTATTACTACTTCCAATTTTTAAAATCTGAATAATTACCCGCGAGTAAAAATTCAAGCACGCTTATGCTCATTGCGGAAGCATCACATTCTATGGAAGCTTCAAAACATTGTGTGTTAAAGGTATCTTATTGCTGTGTCCATCTATGTTTATACGTCCATGGTTCTGATGCAACTACTAAATTTCGTAAAAATAGATATCAATATATTCCGTTTTGCTTTTCTGTTGCAAAGATTTTAGTATCTTTTACTTACACTAGAAGTATCACTTCTTAGTCTTATGTAGTTATTTGTAATTCATTACAGTATTCTAATTCATTTACACTAAAATATAATTAATTTATATAATACACATTTATTACAAATTTATAGTTCCCGACTCTCTTACAATAAAAATCTCCCTGTTTATATGGTTTGTTCCGTTATGAAGAACCTCTTCGACCAGTTTCTCGGCCCCTATCGAATAGTCTGGAAGGCGGAAGGGGTCTCGCAATTCGAACATTGGAATTGCTCCACAGATTATTAGACTGCTCGTGACATCAGACGATCGTTGACATATCAATACTATCGTAACTCTGTTTAGGAATTGATTGTGTATTTCTGATACGTTGACACTCTAAATTATTCTTAATATTATCGACATAATATGGATCTTTGAAGTCTTTTTAATACTCATTTTTTTATGTTGACCATATGTTTTATCGATACACAGTGACATTTATTTTTCGTTTCTTGTTTAGATTAATAAAAATAATCACATTGTTATTTAACAGATACATAAATAAAGAGCCTGTGCTACAGGCATGCAAACGGATCTATAACATCGATACACAAGAAAGGGATTAAAGAAACCCCTAATAATTACAGAGGAATAACCGTAACCACACTAAGCCAACTATATGGAGTAGTGTTAAAAGACCTTATGTGTGAAGAATATAATCCCTAATAATCTGAAGAGTAAAATGAGTTCAGAGCTCGTAGACTCATAATACACATTTTACCATAACACAAGTAATAGAAAAAGGCTTTCAAAATCACAAGAATTGCATTTACTAATGGTGGAATCAACGAAAGTGTATGACACAGTACACATTAATACGCTATGGAAGGCTTAGAGGAAACTAATATAAATATTACTCTCATTGATACTCTGAAAGGACTGTATAGAAGCTATCTTTATAATTGAATTTGAAAATAAAATAGCCGAAGGCTTCCTAGTCACTAAAGGACTCAAACAGAGATGCTATATAACTCCCCTACTATTCAATATATACATAGATGAAATTCTGAGACAGTAGAAACAGAAATGTAAGAGAATGGGATTGCCGATAGGCGATAAAATGCCTACACATTACATTACGCAGATGATCAAATTGTTATCGCACAAGACAAGAATAGGCTTGTGTAGTTCATAAGCAAACTAGCTAAAGATGCGGCACTCAAACCGTTCACTCGTTTATTTCTCGGAGTTTCGCGTTTGGTTCATTGTTCAGGAGCTAATAATGGTGATATATGTAAATAAAATTGTTTTTCTGTATAATTGTAAGAGATTAATTAAGTCTTTATTATTTATAGATTAAAAAAATATGAGTTCGAAAAGAAAGCACAGTGCTCTGCGGGACTATGTTATAGCACAAAGAGCTAAATGCAATTATTGCTCCCAGTGAATTAGCATTGCTAATAGTTCAAATGGAATCTTAAATCGTCACATGAAAAGCATATGAAAAAATATTTATCCAAATTTATATGCATTAATTTTAAATCGATTTTGTGTCCCTGCAACTTATGTGCTATGTAAGGGGATTTTTTCTGCCACAGGTCAAACATTAAATGAACGCATATAACTCTTTTAAAAGCTAGTAAAGTTTCCAAATAATATTTTTACATAAAAATATGTAGCATAAATAATTTAAATCGATTTTATAATATGTTCAGTTTAGCTTCTTTTTTACACATTTTGTTAAAGTGCATACTTATTTTATTTTTCCTTGTTTTATTTTTTAAATAAATAGAATTTAATCTGTGTTTTATTTTCTTTTTAAAGAATTTTAAACACTCACTTAAAAAAAGAATAATAAATTTTGTAATAAAGTATTTTAAATGACAATTTAAATTAAAATCGGCGTTATCAAAAATAAACTTCTTATACACAAACGATAAAACAATCTTACATTTCGCTCATGTGTAAATTAATCTCTCATGTAACTCTTTGTGTTAATGCACTAGTGAACTAAAAGAGTGACACAGTTCACTTCGTAAATTTGAAGTAAACTGAGAGCGCTTTATGATGAACTATTATGCCAAACACTAATTTAGAATATATGTCAAGAAAACTTGTGGAAGAATATAAAAAGTGGGGTCTGAAGTTCAACATGAAAAAAAAACACAGTACCTATGTATAGGAAGGAAAGAAGCTACGGAGAAACTGAACCTGAACCAGTAAAAAATGGAAAGTTGATAGGAATATATTAACTTAGAAATTAATCCAACTATAATACATTCAAAGCCAAGATAAGTTTGAGCTCATACCCATGGGTGCGCGTGTCGAGACGTTGCAGCTTGTCATTGGTTAGAAATGAATTTCTAACCAATGACAAGCTGTGACGCCACGACACATCTAAGATAGGTGTGAACTCGGGCTTAGCTTGGTTTTCAATGTAGTAGTGTAGTAATCTTCAAATTCTGCTTGATCGTATTCACGAGGTAGGAGAGGAAAAGGGCATTAAAATAAACTCAAACAAAACCAAATTTTTAGTGTTTAGTCGTGACCCACATCCCGATGCAACGCTTCAATTGAACGGAGTCCAAGTTGAGAAAGTTCACAAAATGACATATTTGGGAACTGTGATAACGGGCCAACTAGATCCAGACATAGAAATAAAACGTAGAATAGCAATGACTAAAACTACTTTTATGAAAATGAAGTCATTTCTTTGCAATAACCATCTCAGTTTGGAACTAAGGCAAAGAATGGTTAAGTGTTAATGTCGGATAATTCTGATATGGCACGCGAAGAAAAAGATAGTGTAAGACGAAATGAAAGAAATATAAAAGATCGGATAGTAAAACGAAGACAAGTGATAGGGGCCTTGAATTCGGTTTCATGACAAAAAATATAAGAAAAAATACAAAGTGGCGAATCTACAATACAATATTAAAACCAGTGTTAACATATAGGACATAAGTATGCTAATTAACCAAACAATACTTTTGGAGGAGAGCCGCAAGAAGATCTCGTTTAGAACACAAGAAATTACGATATTAAGACACAAATAGGAGTACAAAGAATGTAATAGAAGCAATAGGAAAACAGTAACTTGGTACGAACACGTCAAACGAAAGGAAGAAAGCAGAATCCCAAAAAAATAGACTGGACCTCCACAGAGACGGAAACGAGAAGGATCGGCAACATAGATGAAGGGCATCGTCAAGGCGATGTCTGAAATAAATCTTAGGAGAGAGACTGTCACATTGGAAAATAATGACGATTAGGAACGGAAAGGAATATTACGCCATGAAAACCGTTTTAAAAAATATATTTATTGCGTGCATACAATAAATAGGGTTTTATATATATTTATTTTATTAGCTTTATGTAAGTGATATATTTCCTTGTCTTGGGAATATACTCAATAACATTCTTAATCTGGTGTTCCTTTTGTATTGTCATGTATTATCATTTTTATTTTTTCATATTCCATTAGTTGAATTCTGAAAAATAACACCAAAATTATCAATATAAATGTACATAATATTAATATATACTTTAAAACTTTAAAAATATTTAAAAGTAAAATTTTATTTTTAGGAATTTGTGGATTTATATGCAAATTTTTTGTTAAACAAATCAGTAGAAAAACAATTCTCAGCCTTTTATAAAGGATTTCAAATGGTGGTGGATGAATCGCCCCTTGAATTACTATTCCGTCCAGAAGAAATTGAATTGTTGATTTGTGGTAGTAAGGTAATTACATTGTTTTAGTTTATAATTGATTGAAATCTTAGCTCTGCTTTTAGTGGCATATTTTTTAACAAACCTGTAGTGTTAAATGTTGAAACTTCCTATGAATGTATTGTATATTTGCGGTTAAAAAATAAACGTTTTCGTTTGAGCTGGTGATTCCAGCTACTAGCTTGTGCGAGAGGTTCTATATTATCAAAATTAGATGTCAGCACCGAAATCCGTCGCGAACAGGGTATTTCAAGTTCGCCAAAGTTCGCCTATCTAGGACTATTCCCAAGTACTTCAGTTTTTTGCTAGGTAGTATCCTTTCTTCCTCCAGGACAAAAACTATATGATCTCGGACCCTTGAGGATCATAGCTTCAGTTTTCTCAGCCGCTAGCATGACATCCTGCTTCTCATTTACGTCTTCACTTTGTTGAGTGCTTCGTTTCCTTTCTGCATGATTCTCCAGTTTTCATTGTGCCCAACAGCACCACCAGGTAATTGGCATATCGTTACCCTAATATTACAAGGTTGTATGTAACAATATTGCTAATTTGAGAAAAATCGATTTAAAAAAATGAGCTTTTATAAAAATCAAATTGTTTTATATATTTTAAATTTGAATTTAAATTAAAAATGTACATATGTATTAAAGGTGATTTAAAGAAAAAATTAACAAAAAATTGGTTTTTGTATTAGAAGAAAAGGTATTTGAAAAAAAAACATAGAACCTTGATATAGCAAGAAAATTTTACTTATTTAAAAAATTAACATAGAAACTTTGTTAACTACAAAAAAAAGACAAAGTAAATCTTATTTTTGGAGGAAAATACACTCGTAGTATTCCTTATCAACTTCTGGGATATACTTGAACATAGATTTTAGGGCATCTATCTTATTTGGGGGAAGTACAACAGCCTTATCACATTTTTTTAATTGAAGCGGAATGAGTGGTTCTGTTTCGGTTTTAACATGACCTTTTCGTAATTTTCTTTGATGTAAATTTACAGTTTTTAGCTCTTTGGTTGGATCAAAAGTATCTCTATACTTCAGTTCAAAAAAAGATTTAGAAAATTCTAATGCTACTACTTTTGAAAATGGTACAGCGTTGTAGTTCAGTTGGCTGGAAAAAGACTGAAAATCTATAAAATGTTCTTGTTTCATTTGAATTATTGTATATGGATTTTGTCGGTTTACTTTTAAAAGGTAGCGCAGAAGTGATATAGGAGAATAATATTCTACTTTATTCAACGTTCTTTCAATTGCACTGTGGATTGCATCGACCTCTTGAATACAAGCATGTCCTGGAACAGAAAATTTCATGGAAATATTTTGCACATTCTGATGTTTTTGAATTAGGTAACTGAGAGCATAACTCATAAGACTGTTTCGATTCTGTGGAACGCAGCTATCGCTCCACAAAATGATTTTTGTAAACTCTGGATGGTCCTCCAACACTTTTCCTACTATTTTATAAACTGCGCTTGCAATGTCATTTCCCTTTCTTCCATGTAAAGCTTCTGTCCACACGGCACAATACACCTTTTTCCCAACCGAAAGGTGACCGGTCATATTGTACACATTTAATTTGCTCTTATAAAAGAAATTTTTTATGTCTGCTTTTGGACATGTCAAAACATTTTCCAGATCAAAACATAATAAAGGTATTCCGCTTTCTTTATCTCTTTGTTTTTCTTCTCTCATATACTCTTTCTCTTTCAAATGATCAGTATATCTTCGTTGTGATTCTTCGTCTTCCCTCTTCTCCATTTTTCTTAATTTTATTTCTTCGCAGGTATCACATCTATCTTTTCTTGGTTTGTGAAAAGCTATATTAAAATAGTTGCAAAATATTTTTCTGTAGACAGCAAAAAAACTGGATTTTTTCTTGCATTCTCCAGCAAAATCCAAATAAAGCTCATACAATTTTTTGATACTTAATCCGCTTTTTTAAATACTCTTTATTAGTTTTTTTGCGACAGTAATGGGATTCCACTCTTGGAATCATGTTAATGTGCTCCTTGACCAAGTTACTATCTTCGAGTGATGTTACCCGTTTTTGATGTTTGCCTTGTTTACTTTCGGGTAAGGTTTTGGTGGAAGTTTTATTGTTGTGCACCGTATAAATTGGTTTCTGGCTTATGCATAAAGTCCCAGTGTAAAAAGCCTTGCAAACTTGGATCTTTTGATTATTTATCTCAAAATAAAACCTAAAACTTTTGCTTTTTCTCGATTTTTCTGGATTTTTGCCTTTTCTTCGTCTCCAAGGAGTCTCAGCTTCTGTGGTATGCAAAATATAGTTTTTCTTTTCGATGGCTGAGAGTAAATAATAGTTTTTAAAAATTTCCTTCCTTTGTTCGTCGCTAATTTGACGCGAGCACTTCATTCTGCACTTTTGTACACAATCTTTTTTATTCCTAATCTTTCTAGCAGGTACTACCTTTTTCGAGAAGAAATATACTCTAGACCTTGATCAAATAAAGATTTTCTTTTGTTACATGTCCATTCAGAAGTGTTTTTCTGTCGTTTTCTAGTAAATATCTTTTTATCTTTTATTATATTATGAGTTGCTTCTTCTAGTAAAATTTCTTCGGAAATATGTCCAATATTATTTGTATCATCGAAATCAGAATGGTCTGGTTCTAGAATCTTAATTTTGTTATCCTCTGAAGACGGGATTTTCTTGGTGAATTCTGGAACTAAAGTTGTAGAACTGCTAGGTACATTTCTAAAATAAAAATAAAAAAAATGTTTTCGCTATTTAGTTAAACAAAATAATTGTCAAAAATATTACCTATTTCAGTTAGACTGCAAGTCACCAGAACCAGAGTTAGATGCATTTTTAATCTTAATATTGCTAACAACTATGATTGGGACCTTTTTATTCTTTGGAGTGTGAATGATTGAGGTGGAAGACGAACTAGGAGCTTTTCTAAAACAAATTAGTTTTTAAATAGTAACAACAAGCTAAATTATAAAAAGAGATTAATAAAATGTTACGTTGTTTAATTTTTTTTGTTTAGCAAATCATGCCTACCTGCTTGAATCCGTTTCTGAGTTAGTTTCGTCATCACTTTCGCTGCTACTTCTTGACACGAGAATATTAATAACACGTCCACGATTTTTAAGTCTGAAACAAAGAACTTTTTGTAAAAAAAGAAATAAAAAATAAAAACCTAACCTCACAATATAAGATATAGAAAAATCTTACCTGCATTCTTTCATCTTCGATGATTTTTGAACTGGTAATACGTAATCATCATCATCATCAGAGTCTTGGACATAGTCATCACTTAAATTACTCATTTTTTTTAATTCTAGACACAAATAACACTCTCGAAAACGCTTGCGATTTGTATTATAAATACAGGAACATAACCTCACTTTTACAAAAAATACAACAACAAGGTTGTATGTTACAACATAGAACCATGTAATATTTAGATTTTAATCAAATTTTAAATTCCAAAGTTCTATGTTTACCATAGAACTTTGCTATTCATATAAAGCATAATTTTGTACATACAACCTTGGTTTTTTTAATATTACCAGAGTTGTATGTGAGCAAACTAATTTCCATACAAATTGTGAGGTAGTGCTAGTCACATAGAACTTTGTAATATTGAAAACTTAATTTAGTAAAAAATGTTACATAGAACCTTGTAATATTAGGGTAACGATATGCTATTGTCTGTATATGAATATCCCGGTCGGCATCACGTTGTACAGAACATTCCAAAGCAATAGCCCCAGGACGGAGCTCTGCGGCAGTCCCGCCGAAGTTCTCAGAGAGTTACCCTTCGCAATGTTGATGTATATACCTGTGCAGCAGTTCCGTACGGGCTAGGTCTGGTTAATGCGCAACATAGACTGAACTGTTGAGTTATAATATCATGTTATATCACCCAGTCCCCACTTCGCCATAGCTTCGGTCTCTTCATTCGCAGATCTAAACGCAAATTTCTCAGCGTTTGAACGTAAACGAAATTATTATGGTCACACTTCATAGCATCTTTCATGCTCACGTTTTGGATGTCTTTAGATGTGCTTTAGATGTGATCAAAACGCGAGCATGACCCTAACGGCGGCCTTCGTTTAAACTTCCTGAACCTTATGTTGTTTTTATTATCCTTGTAAAAATATATTTTTTCGTCAAAATTTAAAATTGTACAAGATGTTAACTAAATGTATGCTTATTTTCAGAATTTTGATTTCGATGAATTAGAAAATTCAACAGAATACGACGGAGGTTACACAAACGAATCACAAATTATCAAGGACTTTTGGTCGGTAGTGCACGCCCTCTCTTTAGAAGATAAAAGGAAACTTCTTCAGTTTACTACGGGCTCAGACCGAGTACCAATCGGTGGATTATCCAGACTGAAACTAGTCGTAGCAAAAAATGGACCAGACTCTGACCGGTTACCTACCGCCCACACCTGTTTTAATGTTTTGTTATTACCGGAATATTCGTCAAAAGAAAAGTTGAAGGATAGACTGGTCAAAGCAATAAATTACTCAAAGGGATTCGGCATGTTGTAAAAATGTGTTTTGTTTTGTGATTAAGTAGAGTATATTCAGATACTAACAAAACTTTAATTTTGTTTTTAATATAAAGATTGTGTACAGCGCCGTCATAATTTTCTGTTACTTATTAATTTTGTATGTGTAATTTTTGGACGATTTACATTATCAGGAACAATACAAATAAAAGGAAATATTGAACACTTAATTAAAAACCTACCTATTTTTTAATTATCCTTGTGACCGCGTAATCCCCATGTAGAAGGCATCGATATCCTCTCTTTTTTTATGTAACACTGACATGTTTCTCCTAGTTGAAGCTTACCAAATAGTGAGAAAATAGAAATTTGAAATATTAGAGAAGTTTGAAATAAACTTCTCTAATAGTTGAGTATCAAAATAGTAGATAGTAAATTCTGAGAAATGATAATTGAGTTTAAACAACAACATGGTGGCCATGTTGTGTTATTCACTTCTATATTAATAATTCACATACAATCAAATAGTCATAGAATAACTCACGTTCCAACGGCTCAGTACGATTTTGTCGAATGCAATTGCAGTACAATAATGTTGAAAATCGGATGGGAACACACACGTACCGATTTTGCAGTATGAGTTTTCATGCAAATCAGAAACATGTCAGGTATCGATATACTTTTAACGGCCCTTGATCTTTGTATAAACGAAAAAATACAAGAAACGTAGGTGGTGGTGCAAAGATTGGTTGCTGAAAAGACATACATACTGTCACGTACACTTCCCGTCATATAAAACTGGTACACTTTTTTTCCCCAATGTAAACCTGTGTTCAGACTGGACACAATGGTTCGTGAATCAATTCGTTGTTGTCATCACAGATAACGGAATTTCAGTAAATTTAAATAAAACGTAAAAAATAACGTTCAAAAATGTATAAAGATTTTAGATAGGTATTATTTTTATTATTAACAACAAAAAACAGGATCTAATAAATTTAATAACCAGAAAAAGAATTGAGTTGAGTCCAAAATGTTGAACGATATTTAATCTTAGGGTATTGGCACAGAGAACATTGGAATGCATCTACTGTAATTTTATACTTCAATTACTTACAGAACACAAACTGTTAACAGTATGTTATGTCAATAAGTTTAGTAACAAGCAAACTACCTAAATAATTTATTATTTATTACATGAACGATAAATGTGAAAAACTAACATTATACTTTATCCTACGTAGATTATAAACTGTAAAATATCCGGGGTGAAAAACTCTTTCAAAACGTGACAGTATGACATTATCCTCTTATAACTGAAAAATGTTGGTTTAGTATCTACATATGTTATCAGTGCGTGAAAACTTCCCGAACATATCCCATCGAGCAAAAAGACAAAAGAGGAAATCTAATCGTTATGAAAAGGAGACCAAAAAAGTGGCCTCTGATGGCGGACATATCCGGAAATGCAAAGGCACTAAATTTAAATTTTTCGACACTTATTAATAATAGCTATAAAATATTTTTCAGACGAGAAAGTTTTAATTAAATATTAACGATAATAGTCTAAAATGTGACACAAATGGTAAGAAACTTCAATATAAATAAAATTTCATGTGACAGTTGGGACAAACAATAACATAAACAAACTAAATTTAATTTTATAAACAAGGAAAGAGACTGTCTTTCCTTGTTTAAAGTGGCCTCTCAAGATCGCACTTCCTGTCTAACAATATTTTTGTCCCCACTACCTTTACATTCCCTCTTTTGTCTTTTTGCTCGATGACATATCCTAACAATGAAACATAAAAAATATTACTTGCCATCAGTCAGATTTGACAAGTTTGTCAAAGTGAATTTTTAAAGATGCCACGTCAATTACGTCAGTCTGATAAAACGAGAATAATTTCAAAAATAGAAGATGGTTGGTCTACTCGACAACTGGCTCAAGAGTTAAATAAAAGCAAAGCCACAATCCACAACATTAAAAAAGATCGGAAAACGAGCAGACTTTGGATAGAAGGAGAGGGAGTGAGAGAGCAGTTATTACTACAGCCCAACAAGATGAAACATTAACTAATTATTTAAGAGCGCATCTCTTCCATACGGCAAGGCAAGTAAAAGTTAATACAAACCTTAATGCTTCTATAACTACAGCATTAACGAGAATTAGAAGAACAGATTTAAAAAATTGTGCAGCCGCCTGAAAATACAAATTTAGCGAGGAACATAAACAAAGTAGACTCTTATTTGCTTTAAATTACATTTTAAATGATCCAGTCAATTTTTGGGACCGTGTAATTTCTACTGATGAAAAAGTATTCCAGTCTCATTATAATGGCCGTATTAGGGTTTATAGACCTCCTCGAAATAGGTTTAACGAAAACTATATTTCATGAAGTGATAAGTCCGGACGGTTTTCCATAAATGTTTGGGCTTAGATATATAGAGGAGGTTTAGGCCAATAGAGAACGTTTTGGGACGTTCCTAGAAGAAGTGATTAATAATAATGGAGCTATGACAAAATGTTAACTTTTCTAATTGTAATACATATATGTAAATCCCACACTTGTTCACTGTAAAAATTATTCATTTTTTAATAATTTCAAATTAATTTTAATTTTTCCAGTGGGTTTTATTTACTGTAGTATTCCATAACTCAATACAGTTTTGTGCTACACTTTACGAGAAACCAATCACATCTCTCAATTTGAAATTAAACATAAATTTAAAGTCATGTCTAGATTTATTATCTATCATTATTTTTGAATTGAAATATTTTCATAAATTATAATAAAACACGAATCAATGTATGGGTACTGAGGTAATAGAAAATTTCAAAATTAATAGAATTTTTTAAGATGTATGTTTAAATAAATGTATAAATATAAATGTGACTGACTGATGAATGCTAGATATTGTTTTAGTTTTTAGTATACTAAAAACTTGTGACCTGTAGCACAGCCCTGCTTTTAGCTGGTTTGATATAATATTTTCGTTGAACTGGCAAAGTTGCCTTCGAAATTAGAATGACACATGTGACAAGCTCAACTTACACAACTTGAAAACACGATTTTCGGTTATAGGAATTGTACCAGTTTTTTATGACGGGAACGGTACATTTACTAGAAGAATTGCGATTATATCCAATTAATTTTAATTCCCTTTTGTAACATGTTCGAAAATTATTCATTTCCTTTTTTACTAACTCTTCATTAGTATCTACTTTCACTTCTTGAAATTTAGTCACCAAAATATTCACAGCTATTTTTCTAGTGGTTTTATCATAATATGCCGATTTTATTTTCCAAAACACTCAATTATAAATGTCAAAGAAGTCTCTAAAACTTCTAGCTATAAGCCATCTTCGAAATTTACCAACAAATGATTTTTTTGCAATCGTACGATTTTGTTGTTGGCACAATATACACGATCAAATTAACGACCCAACCAACTCTGTCTTACTGCTGCAGACTGACTTGTTTGTCTGCCGTCAAATCGCGCCGATTTGGTCGAATGGTGCAAATACACGATCAAATTACATTCAATTTTGTAGCATTCGACAAAATTGTACTGCGGCGTTGGAACGTGAGTGGCGAGCTTAACGCACTTGTTAAAGTATCTCATAAAACATGACAACGTTGACCAGTAGGAAAGGACAGTAGATAATCGAAGTCGCAACTTAGAAAGAGATATATCACACAGTCTGGACGTTCACTGCACACATAGTAGTATCTTTTACGTCGTTAAGTGAATTTTAAAAATTTATATGTACTAAAAAAGTATTTTTATTAAATTTATGGTTTTGTATGTATTTGAAACAAAATTACGTGGAAATGTATGTAAAAAATTAACCTATCAATTATATGATGCAATATTGAGAAAGTAGTCCGACATCCACAAAAACTCAAAATATTAAATATCGTCTGAAGAAAACTGGTCGGATGATGAAGAACTATTGCAATCGCTATTAGTCACATTAATAATCATGGGTTCAACGGAACGTCCACTCTAGTATCTACATTCTGCTTTCTTCTTTTCTAGTATGTATAAAAGTGTATTTTCCATAAGTCTAGAGTGATGTTTTCTAGAGCAGTAACTAACCTAATAGACCTTTCACATCATCCACTTTAAAAATTGTTTCCCTCGCTGCTTGACTATTTGCCCATATAAGTTCGATAGGGTTCAGCTCACAATGACAAACGGAGGCGCAGAACAATAATTTTTTGTTCTTTTCACGAGCCATTTCGTAGACAACATATATCTAAAATTAGGATATATGTCTCATTGAAAGATTTAAGAATTCTACTTTCCACATTTTTTGTTCAAAAATAAAATCTTTTAGAACCAACCTTCAAATTTTTGAGCGTCCATTTGTTCATGATAGTCATTGGTTTCTTGGATTCAAAAAGTAATAAGTCGTTATCCAAAAACCCGAATCACTGTCTGTGTGTGTTAAAATGTCTGTCCTTTGCCCACTGGTGTTTTAAAACCCGATGATAACCATGCAATAAAGACTTGTTGACGGTTTTTAGCTTCAAAACCTTGCCGCACTATTAAGGCAGTATGGCCTTGATTTTGCCCAGTTTCCTCTAAATAGTAGATTTTGCTACCTTCACGATGATAGTCTTGGATTTTTTTCAGGTAATGTCTCAAAATAATATCTTCTCTTTCTATAAAAATACTGTTCCTACTTCTTTTCATATCTTTGTTCATTTGCTTAGTATTCGCAATAATACACCTGATATTTTGGGTATCAAATCGTCGGAATCTATTTCGGCTGCGACTTTCTTTAAGGTTGGATTTCCATTTCAGAAAAAGAAAGCAGGGAATTTTCACCGAATAGCATACTTAATATTGTCTTCAAGCTGAATACCTTTCTGTACCGTATCTGACTTACCTTCACGTTGTTTGAATTGTTTTAGAATTCTGTGAACACTTCTCGTTGACACTTAGTCAAATCGCTACATATAATTACAACGTCATTGACCAACAAATTTTTATTCCTTTCACGGAGTCCACAATACACGTTGTATATAACAAAAAAAATTAAAATCCCTTATAAAAGGTATATAATTTAAAAACCCAATTGGGCTATATCACAACAAAACGTTTTCGGAATCCATATTCCATCATCAGTGTCTAGGTGTACAAGTGTATTAGAGTCTTTATCTATTACACTTATCACTAAAAACTAGAACACACCTACTTTAATTTATATTATTTATTT